ACTGACTGAATCCTCCTACTGCCAGGGCTGTGCCTGCAAAACAAAACAAAACAAAAAATAAGCCAAAAAAAAAAAAAAAAAAGCATCTGTGCAACGTGTCTATACAAAAAACTACAAGTGGCTGTTGTCTGGGTGTATCAATGAAACTTCTGGCTTTGTGTAATTACATTCTGCTCCCAATGTTCAAGGCATAATGTTCATGTTCAACTTACAGAGTAACGTGTTTCTTAGACAGGTGAATAGATTTAAAACAGGGTAGCTGATCCACACTCATTCTTACACACTCAAGAAACTCTGAACAATGTAACTAGTCTTTTCCTTTTTTTTTTTTTTTTTTTTTTGTCTTTTTCCTTTTTATCGGTACCGGGGATCGAACTCACGACTGCCTGCTTGCAAGGCAGGCACCTATGCTGCTGTGCTAAATCTTCAGCCCCCGAGTCTTTTCTTTTAAGTTATTTTCCTTACAAGCATTTTATTGAGCAAGAATAACTAAATTTCAACATTCTGTATGCATTTTTATTTATCATTTTTTTTTTTTTTTTTGAGATTGGCTCTCATTATGTACTCTAGGCTAGTCTTGAGCTAACTTTGTAGACCAGGCTGGCTTCAAGCTTGCAGCAATTGGCCTGTCTCCTCCTCCTGAGTGCTGGGACTGCAGCCTGTGCCACTACACCTGGCCTACTCATGGGATTCTTATCCCCTCATTTACTTTATTTATAAATATCAAAAGAGTGAGAAGATGGTTGACAGCTTGCTCTGAACTTGACATGTGGACTTAGGATGCCTCCCTCATTCCCTTATCTGGAGGCATAGCTCTTTGAATCTGCAATCCCTTAATCAACTGCAGTCTCTTAAAATATAATAATGAGGCCATTGTTGCTGAGTAGTTTGTTAGTAACTAGTCCTGACCCAAATCAAAGACAAGTTGGATTTTGATTTATTTTAAAATTGTTCTCGAAGCTAAAGTGCCAGTTACTTTCCTGTGTAAACAAAATGTGTCCAAATAAACATACTGGATTTTAGAAAACACATGTAATATGCATGATGTTGAATTTAGATTGTCATGAAAGCCAGGAGAGTGTGTTCAACCATGTTCACATGTAAGGAAAATGAATCTCCAATCTTTGGAAAAGTTCTCTGAATTAGAAAACAAGCTTTAAAAAAAAAAATCTGCTCCCCAGCCCTCAAAGAAATACGTAGAACAAACTAAAAAAAAAAAAAAAAAAGTTGAAAAATAAGCTGGGGAAATAATTATAAGTCAAATTATAGAAAAAGAGTTATTTCTCTCAGTTAAAGGTTATACCAGTAAATAAAACTTAGCAAACTAATGAAAATCAAACTGTTCACAAAAACTTGATATAATTGTATCTTTCATAAAAGTAACTCAGTTTCACATACAGTAAGAGAAACACAAATTTACAATTACCAGGATACACTAGCTTTCTCCCTCTTCCGAGGGAGGAACCCCCAACTGTTTAAGAATATCTTGTGTGATAAGGGTACTGTCGAGGGGGAAACAGACTCTGAAAACTACTTAGAGCATAGTTTTTCAAGGCCAGTTTCTGCTCCCTCAATAGTCGGCTGTGCTCACTCACTGCTGTGGTTTGGACATAGTTCCACACTCTTGCGTGGATCAGAGTTTGGTCCTCAGGTGGCCGAGTGAGAGGTCGTACCGAACCTGTACGAGGTGAAACCGTGCAGGTCTTCAGATCACTGGAAAGACATACCCGCCTCGTGTTGTAACAACAAAGCATTGTAACAGTGAGGCTGTTACACAGCTGAGCCTGATCCCTAAGTCTTTCCTAGGCTTCCTGTCAAGATGGGATTCTTCCCCCGTCCCTTCTCCTGCCCTCTGGCATGGGGTCCTCACCAGCGCCATACAGTGCTGTTTGGACTGCAGCTTCCAACATTTATTTATTTGAACTAAATGAATAATTTTTCTTTATAAAGGTAGCCTATCTTGGTCTTTTGTTGTACCAATAAAAATGGACCCGTTATCCATCAAAATTAGTAATTTCTGCTCTTCTGACTAACCTCACTTTACTGGACTTTTCAGGGGAGTATGATTCGACTGATCACGCCCTGCACTTTCACGGAACTGTCTCTTGTCTTGCAGCTCCAGCACCTGCCGGTCCTCTCCCACCTCTGTCGCTCCTTCTCAGTGTCTTCTTTGCCCATCTTCTAAATGTATTGTTGTCAGAGTTCTGTCCTTTGCACTCACAAACGAATTCATTGCCCAAACTTGAAATGTCTAATCTCTCTTCAGTGGCCCCTCACTCCTCTGAGCCTGGTTATTATTTGCAAATCTTTTGTCAGAACTAAATTAATCTACAGTACATATTTTCTTATAGTTGCTTAATGATTTATAAAGTGCTCCAGTCCAATAGATCAGAAAGCATACAGTCAATGTCATCTAATTGTGACAGAGTAGCTTACAGTTGTGTTAGGATTCAAGTCTATGTCTCCCTGATGAGGAGGGCAGCATTATGTATGTCTCTTCTAATCAATCTGGAAAGAAAAAAGTCAAAAGATTTACAATAAAATTCACTTAACATTTTTAAGTAAATTGTTTATTTTTGTATAACACAAAGATATTTTAATGAAATAGCATAATTTTATGTAAAGTCAGAAATACCGCAAACATCACATCCATTTATTATCATAGCAATAAGGCCTTAAATCTCTTAAGCTATATTTGGAAAACATGAAGAATAATATCATTGTAAAGAATTTTGCAATTCTTTACAATTAAACTCTCACTTTGCTCATTTGTTTATGCTCTCTGTATTGGTACCTGAGAAATGTTCCATCACATTGTTCGGTGCCCAGAAGCAGGTAAGTCACGGATTCTGTCTTCTCTCTTCCCTTGTCTCCCCTCACCCTCTCGCCTCTTTCCTGCCTGATAACTTCTTCCTTCCCAGCACATAGACAGTAGGTTGCTGATCTTTAACTCTCCCCATCCTTTAATCTCTATGAGATGACCAAAATAAGATGGTGACTTGATTGGACCAATTGGATGCTGTTAGTGGTCAGAATTCATGATCTTCCCAGTAAGCCAGTGGTACAGACAGCAGCTACTCAGAGTGTGACCTGACCTCAGCTGGAATCATACAGAAATGCAGAATCCCAGGACCACTTCAGAACCACTGGGTCAGAATTTACATTTTAAAAGATGGAGGGGGGTGGAGGAGGGGAGGGGACACAAAAGAATTAATATGTGTACAAGTACCAACTCCCCACAAATTCATTGTAGTGTGTGCTGCAAACATGTACTAACATAAATAAAAAGCAGAGTTTGCATTTTAACAAGATGCTAGCAATGCCTGAGAAGCACTGGTTTGATCATCACGGCCAGGTCTTAGGTGGTCCACAGGCACTTTCAGGTTTGGGAAAGTGGTTTGGTTTTCCTTTGCCCAATGGTTCTGGCACGCTGCAGGCTCACGTGACAGAGGGCATAACAATAACTGCATGAGAGATTTCTGAAGTTACCTTTAGCAAAAGGTGACAGACTAAGTGACAGGCATTTGAGGTTTCCGAGTTATTAGATTTAGACACAGTTCAGGATTGAGCTACAATGTGACCAGTGAAACCAGGGACAGTGCTCCAGCAGGCCTGTGTGGTGAGACACTGCAGCTGGTGGAGAGCCCACAGGATCTCTGGTGCCCAGAGGTTCTTCAGTTCGAATCCTGGCTCTAGAGACTGAGGTCATTAATTGGCCTCCAGTATCTCAATTTCTGCGTTTGTAAAGTTGGAATGAAAATAGTTATCTAATACAGCATTTTGCTATAAGAACATCACACTTACAGCCTTCACATGTTGGTTCAAGATTCACAGACAGCAAAATCTGAGTGCCATACAAGGAGGGGACAGGAAGCCCAGGAGGCACCTGCCTTCTGGCACCTTCTCCCAGAGCATCCCAGCTCTGATCCCAGAGTCCCCCCCACTCTGCTCGCTGTGGGCAACCTGGAAGCGGGTCTGGTGTCCGCCTAGGTCACGCCAGTAGCTTCCAGTCCTGGGCTTGCATCTGGAAGGATCACAGTACGTCTTGCCGAGCAGCCATGCGCACTGTTTCCCAGGCATGTGGGGACCCCTGACTGGTGGTGCTGGGCACAGCCTGCTAGGCCCTGCTGTCTCGGCTTGTCGAGGCTGCAATTTGCCCATACAACCGCGCTGCCTGCTTTTCTCTGGGGCTGTGCATGGGGGAAGTAGAAAGGAAGGGGGGGCTGCTTTCACCCCGTCTCTGTCGCCCCAGGCAAAACTTCCTATGTTCACTTTTCCACTATAGGCATGATGAACCCCAAGTCTTCAGGTCCTCTAAATAATTTAAAACGACCTATGCGTTTGCAGGCTTTTCTGTATACATCATGAACTTCTGTAAACATGGTTCTGTTCTTTGTAGTTATGAATTAAAAAAAGAAGTTGGAGGGGGCCACACGCACGCACAATTGCTAGATATTTTCTGTACAGAAAGGGAAAGTGCACCCACAGAATCTGCAGAGCAGCGACGCGTACCCCATGCAGATTTGCAAGCCGGAAAGCCTATGGCGGGCTTGGCAGAGCATTTCTCTGCCTAGAACAGGTCTCGCTGCTGTGTGCCCAGCGGGACAGCCCTCTCCCGGGGTACCTAGGTAACCATGAAGTGCTAGGCGCGTCCGGCCCGTGCAGACCCTCCGCGCCCTGCAGACGGCCAGGCCTCCCCCGGACTCCCGACCTTGAGAGCCGGCTCGTCCCCGCCCCGCGGGCCCCCCAACAGCCCCCAGGTGAGCCCGCGCGTGCAGCTCGGGGCTGCGGGCGGGGCGGCGCGGGCGGGGCGGCGGGGCGCAGATCCGGGTGCCCGCACCCCGCACCCCGCGCCCGCACCCGCACCCGCACCCGCGGAGGCTCCGTGCCCGTCTCCGGGCCCCCTGCGGCCCAGCCTGCGGAGGCCCCGCGGCCGCCCGACCCCGGAGATGCGGGAAGGAAGGGGGCAGGGCGCGGGGTAGGTGCCTTTACCGCCCGGGGCCGGCCGGCGCCGGTGACATCACGCGGCCTCTCCAGGCGCCCACACAAAGCGCTTCGCGGTGAGGCCGCCGCCGCCGGCCGGCCCTCCTGCCCTGCCCGGCCGCCCTCCTGCCCTGCCCGGCCGCCCTCCTGCCGTGCCCGGCCGCCCTCCTGCCCTGCCCGGCCGCCCTCCCGCCGCCCGCCGGCCCTTCCCTGCGCGCGCGGGCCTGGGAGGGGCGCCCCAGCCGGCTGCGCAGCATGCACTGGGGGGTTGGCTTGGCCTCGTCCAGGCCGTGCGTGGTGCATCTGAGCTGCAACCAGAGCGTCTCCTTCCTCGGCTGGTGGGCCGGGTCCGAGGAGCCCTTCTCCTTTTATGGGGACATCGTCGCCTTCCCTTTGCAGGATTACGGTGGGATCATGGCAGGGCTGGGCTCCGATCCCTGGTGGAAGAAAACCCTTTACTTGACCGGCGGTGCTTTGCTGGCCGCAGCTGCGTATCTGCTCCACGAACTCCTGGTGATTAGGTGAGCCGGGGAGAGGGACCCCGCACGGCGCCAAGGGGGCAGCTGGGCAGGACAGGACTGGCACAAAGCGGGGGTGGCGGGGGGTGTCGGTGCCGGCCTCTGGGCCACACTGCCCAAATACCCAGGCCCACTGCAGTACTTCCCCCCAGCGATCTTCCGTGGTCACCCGGTCCGGAGGGGCATTTTCGAGTTGATAGGAGAATTGACCTGGGAGTGGGGGGGGGGGGAAGCATTTTTCTTCCCAGCCTTTTTGTGCCGGAAGCAGACTGCTCGCTAGTCCTTACGGAGCAAAATAATAATTTGAGAAATGTCTTTGGGAACATCCTAAATGCTGTGTATTTGCAACCGTAGAATTAGGCTTTGTGGCAATACCGAGTTACACTTCTACGAAATGCTGTATTGGTTTACTGGTAACCTCATCTTCTATGTAAAATGTATCCCATAGCTAAGTGTCAACATCAAGAGGCTGCAGTTGCAAAGCTCCAGAAGCCTGCGGGTCTCTGAAAGATGCACGGCTAAGTATAGTGCTGTGCAGTTTGATGCAGCCTTAGCCTGGTTACCTGCTCATCTGGTACTGAATGCTAAGTACCATCTTCAGTTTAGATGCCATTGTTGTGTGAGCTGGTGATCCCAAGGCAGGACTAGCACATGGGCGTGTTCCACAGAACACAGAGTCGCCCAGGGCTGTAAACAGGGGCATCTGCTACAGCAGAACGTTTACAGGATTGACTTGGAAATTCCAAAATATGCAGAACCCCGCTGTTGGTACACCCAGTACCACTCAAGATCTTCGTTGGAATAGGCTAGTACCACAGGGTCCTGAGATGGTCTTCGGCCAATCGATACATCAATTCATGGTTAAAATTTCCATGCATTTGAGCCCTGGGTCACTGGAAGATTACCGGAAGTAGAGCAGTTTTTAATAGCTCGCCATGTCCCTTCTGGTCAGTGTTTTCCAAAAAGGGAGTGTGTTCGCACCACCTTTCTCCAGGGGAGACGTCCTGCACAGTAGTGAAGACAGTGGCAGTGACCTTTAAGGGACCTGCAGGGGTTCCAGGAAGGCATTGTAGCAGCCTGAGTCAGAGAGGGTGGGAAATCCTTTGGATCTGGAAAATGTGTGGCTCTCATAATACTTAGTCACAGTTAAGAATTGAGAAGTACATTTGAAGCTTCTTATAGACTTAATTTTCTGACTTAACCTAATACCTTGATTCTAGTTGAACCGAATAAAAGATTTTAAGGTGTAGTGTCTCCTTAGGTTATTCAAGATTTGTGGCTGTTTTAGAACTCTATTTCAAGTTAGGTTTTAAACTCTCTGGAGAACTAGAGCATTTGTGCAGTATTTTAAATAACTAGGGTCTTTTTTTTCTCTCTCTCTTTTTTGTTTCATCTTCTCAGTTATATTCCTGTTCAGAGCCTTGGAGGATCCTGAGCCATGTGGCTTCTCAGCTGCTCTCCACTTTGTGGAGGGAGGGACAGCTTCCAGGGCTGAGTCTTAAATGACTCAAATGACCTTGCAGAAATAGAAGGGGCTTAGGGTTCACTCACGAGTAGACCAAGCTCTGCTGATGTGGTCCCCAGCCACTGGAGAGCCCTCTGCCTTCGTCCAGGTCCTGTAGCATTTAGGGGGTCACAAGCCCCAGCATGGATTACTTGTATGAGTGAAGGAATCTTAAATCTTTTGATTGCTCATGTTTGTTTCTTAATGATTGCTTAAGATGAATTGATAAACCCTGTTATTATAAAAGGGTTGCCCACTGCTGAGCACTTATTAGAAACCTGGGTATAAGTACTTGGCATGTGTGACTGTGGTTGTCCCTAGTGACTATCGCTTTGGGGCTTGATCCATACTTTACAGACAAGGAAATTGTGCCTGAAGGAGATTAAGCAACTTGCCCAAGATCACTAAGTAGGGGTTATGGAGTCCGGATTCAAGCATGAGAGCAAATGTGTGTATGCACATGGAGTGGGAACCTCTTACTGCTGCCTTCTGGAGGGCGCCCATTCCGGAATATTTTTTTGGGGGGAAGGAATGTGGAGAACTGGGGTGTTGCCTGAGGAAGTCAGGCCTGTGGCAGTGGCCGCATTTTCTGCCATTTTCTAAGAATAGAGGAATAGGGAGATGACAGGAGCGCTTAAGACTGAGGCTTAGAGGTTACGAGAGAGCCTTCCCCTTAAGGAGAAATCTCTGTTTTAGTTGTCTGTATTGTTTAGGCCAACAAAACAAAACAACAAAATCTGAAATATTTGGGATGGAAAATACACCTTGAAATGACCATTTGAATTTACTGCCAATTGCAAATTCTGCCCTGCCCTGCTGGACTTTCTACTACACCGACTTAACCTTGGTCCATAGCTGAGTCTCTGAAATGGAGAATAAAGTTGAGAATTATTAGAATGTTTAACAATGAGTATAACCAAAACATATATTTTGAGTTTTGGAGGTGGTTGGGGACTTTCCTGGACTATTTTGGATTTTACCCATTTTTTTTCTTCACTACCATATTTTAAAACAGGTCTTGTCCCAATCCTCTGTTTTCCCTGGTGGAGATACTCTGGCAGCTCTTAAATTCAGTTGGCACTTGGAAATTTGTTGTCTGTAAATTGAATGACTAAGTAATGACTTAATTACTAGTAGTTCATTTTCACTTTTGCTGCTCTAGTTCAACCTGTCCTAGAAAATTTAGTGAATCAAAGCAGGCCAGGGTCAGCAACCTCTGATCCCCATGGCTCATCCAGTGTGCAGAAGCTGGCATCTGTGATGCCCTTAGCCACGGCAGTGGAAACTCTACCAGAGAAGCCAGTTTGCACTTTCCAGGCATTGTTTACACACTCACTTTGTAAGTTGCGTCTGTACAGGAAGCAACCCCCACATCGTCCTCTATCTTGAGCTAGAAGAAGGTTTCCGATGTATGGAAGGTGGGTTCCGGTGCCAGATGTCTGGGTTTAAATTCAGATTCTGCGTTTAACCAAAATCTGCCTCCGAAGATTTTGTGGCAAGTTATCGAACTTCTCTGAGCTTCAGATTTTTTTTTTTTGTAAAGTATAAGCATGGCACAGTGCCCTAAACTTAAACTATAACAGTAATTTCTAGTGCTACTGTCAGAATTTGATAAGTTAAGTAAAGTTCTTAATGAGTCAGTTTTCTCATCTGTGATAACAATGATAGCCTTTTTGTAGAGTTGATTTAATGTATTAGCAGTATGACATGCTCGGTTTGTTGTGTAGTAAACATTTAACAAAGGTTAGCCATCACTAGCTATTATGGTCCAATGGCTTGAGTGGTCTGAGTCAGCTGTCTGTGTTAATAAAATAGAGGCATGACCCATTTGGGTGTCTTTGAAGTGCTTAGGAGCTTGGGAACTGGAGTTGTTACAGACTTGATCTCAAATTGGTGCTCTGTGGCAAGTTATCGAACTTCTCTGAGCTTCAGATTTTTTTTTTTGTAAAGTATAAGCATGGCACAGTGCCCTAAACTTAAGCTATAACAGTAATTTCTAGTGCTACTGTCAGAATTTGATAAGTTAATATGTATGATGTGTGTAGAGTCATTGGCATATGGTTGCTGTATAATTAGCATCCATTCTTACTATGGTATGGCCCAAATTAACCATTAGAGGTAGACTGTTGTGACCAGTGAAGCAGGGAACAGGGAACTTTGCATTTATCTCCTCTCCTTTGAGTTCTTTAATTTTTGCCTTTCTAATTTATATGAAAATATCACTTTGTAATATGAGTTGTTTTACCGGACAAGATCAGGTGTTTGATCGGCAAGTCTACGGTTTGCTGTCTAGGAACATGGTTGAGGTGGGTTCTTGTTTTTAATACCTGACTTCACACACATTTCATCTAAATGAAAACCCTTTTTTCCCCCTTTGGTAAATATTGCTGGAAAAACAGCAAATGTTTTTAGTTTTTGACTTGACTGATGTTTTCCTGCTGACTCTCTCTGAGCTCTTTAAATTGAATGCATCGTTGGGCAGTAACTTCTGAAGAGAATTCACTTTCCGAAGTGGTGGTGCTGAAGTCGGTGAGCACCAGTGAAGTGGTGATGAGCTTGTCTGTGCTTGGGCAGAAGTATGTGTAGAATCCCACGCGTACTGGGATTCATGCCTAAGAACCAAAGCTCAGGGAGGGCCACGGCAAAGAGTGAAGTTTATCTGACTGGTGACGGTTAGATAGAGTGAAAAACAGAAATTGTGAAAGGTTCCTCAGGGGCAGTACGTCAGTGGGGCTGTGCGGAATGGTGACATTTTGTAAGGGCATCAGACTGTATCTCTTTGGATGAGAACACATTTTACTACTCTTAATTGATGCTTGACTGCTCACTAAATATTTCCAGATGTTGCTTTATTTAATGCACATGATAAATCAGTGATCATCAATACAGAATTGGTACTGTCCTCCTGCTCCAGGGAAGGGCTGTGGAGAGGTCTGCAGCGATGCGGCTGATAGGAAACAGGGTTTGTACTTTCCCCCAGGTGTCCCGACCTGGAATCTAGCATTTGTTTCTCTGTGTACTGGCCACTAAAACTGCCCATGGAAGTCATCCTCGTCTCAAAAAGTAGTCGAGGAAATAGACGTGGGGCTACGAAAGAGAAAGGAGGGAGGCGGGGCACTGGGAGTTTATGCTGTGTGGCCAAAGTGAAGACTGAGAAACACAGAGAAAGAGAGAAGAGGGGAGGGAGAGGGAGAGAGAGAGCAGAAGAGCCAGGTTCTGCTACCGCAGGTGAAGGGTGAGGACGTAGGCGGCTTAGGAAAGCGACGAGAGTATCTGTTCAGTCTCACATTCCCTGCAGACTCGCGTCACAGCAGAGTAAATCTCCTCTGTACTCCTCACAGTACAGACTGAAATGGCAAGAACACAGGCACTAAGGACCTGGTTTGATCCCAGTGCTGTTGTTTACTAGCAGTGTTGCTTTGAGCAAGTTAATCAGCGCCCCAATCTTATCTATAAAACCAATTCTTATCTATAAAACATGTATTTTATCAGATTCTTATGAAGATTAAATGAATTTAAGACTGTTTAAGAATCTCAGAGCTGTGTAGGGTACATACTGAGTAAGCACAAAACACCATTTTTCCTCGTCCACCTTGGGCCTGGAAGCTGGAGAAGAGGTTACCTGTCCCGTAGTCAGCAGAAGGTGTGACTTGTAGTTCCTCCTGGGAGCCACTGGGTCAGGGTGACAGCAGGCTCTGTAAGGCTCTCTCAGGTGACCACGCTCCTTCTGCTGCTCTGGGTGTACTGAGTCTCTGTGATAAACCTCGCTGCATGAGCCTCTAGGACTACAGCCCCGCACGTCCTCTCTAGAACTAAGGGAAATGAACATTTCACATGCAGATTGTTCTTCATTTCTGTTCTGTTTTGATTTTGACAGGAAACAACAAGAGATTGACTCCAAAGATGCTATTATTTTGCATCAGTTTGCAAGACCTAACAATGGTGTCCCCAGTTTGTCTCCATTCTGTTTGAAAATGGAAACTTATTTAAGGATGGCTGACTTACCCTATCAGGTACTTGTTTGAAAACATGTTTTATTCTCGTGACATCAGCATCAGTTTGGGGATAATTTTAATGTCACATGGCAGATGACAGAAAAGGTGGAGACTGAAAGTAGAATGCCCAGGCCTTAGTGAGACAGAAATGTTCCATTCAAGGCCTGTTGGTTTTTACATCCACTTAAGTGGTCAGAAGGCCGTGGATACATGAGAGCCTGAGGGCTGTGATATTCCCCCTAACAACGAGTAGATGGTGGTTGATGGCTCCAGTAGGCCTCCTGCACAGCTGTGGAACAGTGAGCGTGCTGTTTCTGATGACTTTTTCCCTTTAGATGTTCATTATTGACAGCATTATGTTTTGTTTCTTAGGAATCTGAGGCTAGAGGATCTAGTAGCACCAGGTAGACGTCTACATAGTTTGTGAGAGCTTTTTGATGTTCTGTTTGTGTGGCCGTTTATTCATTTCAGCATTAAGGAATGAAACAGGTGGGCATGGTGGTTCATGCCTGCAATCCCAGCAGGCACGAGGCAGGAGGACCACTGCGAGTTCAAGACTAGCCTGGGCCACACGGTGAGCTCAAGGCCAGCCTACTACCTAGTGAGAGCTTGTGTCAAAAAACCAAAAAAGGAAGAAAAGAAAAGAACTTATAGATAATTCCTTTCAGAGTAATACTTGAGCTGTGTCTCACCAATTTCACATACTGTGTTTTCATTGTTACTCAATTCTATTTTTTATATTAATATATGTTTATAATACATAATAATACAGTCATTATGGGGAGTTGGAAACATACCACATCTGACGATTCTGTTTTATTAAAAAAATTCTCTTACATTTTCTTTTTAGCTAAGTTCTTGCTTTATGGAATATTTTAAGCTTTGATTTTTATAATAATTTTACTTTTATGGTTAGATAAAATAGTCTCTGAGATTGACTTGTTTGAAATTTACTGAGGATTTGCTTACTGTGTGCTTTTTAAAAATGGTGAAAGTAATTAAATAATTATGTATTCTAGGGGTATAGAACTCTATATATCTACTTGCTTGAATATGATTGGTGTATTGTTTACACTTTTTTATTTTAAAGAGGGTAAAATTAAACACAACAGAACAGAAAAAAACAGAATGTAAGAAAGCAATGTAAGAGACATAAATTTCAAAGCAAGACAATCAGAGCTCTTCATTATCTATCATATTGTTTTCTTCCAAATAGTTGACCATAACTTCACTTACAGACAATTCACATGAAACAACATAGTATAGAACTGATCTATCTGAACAAGGTGAGGAAAATGTTTCAGGTCTTCAAGATCAGACAACAGGGAAGTCAACAATGGCTTAAACTTTTATTTGTGTTTTATGATCTGCCTGGGAGTAGTTTCTGAAAAAAGTTAAAATACTTAAGTGTATTCATTCATTTATCTCTTGTCTTTTATCAGTTTCTATTTTATGTATTTGAGGTTATATTATCAGGTATATATAATATGAAAAATCACATCTTTTATTATTCTTCATTTCTTTTCTAATATATAATATTTCGTGCCCATTTTTGCCCCTTGTCTTAGTTACAAAATACCTGATGCACCAAGTTGGGAAAGGAAAGGTTTTATTTCTTACAGTTTTTGGAGCTTTAAGTCCATACTCAGTTGTTTCCAAGACAGGGTGGCATGACGGCACTGCAGTTCATGGCGGCTGCCAACAGCAAGGCAGAAACCGGCAAGAGAGCAAGACACACCTTCTTCCTGCCATTACATCACATCCTAGCTCCACCCCTAGGCCAGTGTAGCACTCATACATCCAATCAAGTGCTAGATAATGAACCAATCACAAATGCATAATGCAAATGCGTGAGACCTGGGGGCAACCAACGTAAACCATGACATCCCTTATGCTTCAGATGGATTCTTTAGCTTTCTTTTGGTTTGTATTTGCTTTCTCCATTCTCTATCTTTTTAGATTTTTGTTTCTCATAGGTAATGTATGACTTACACTGAATTGGAGAGTCTTACTTAGTAAGTTTAATCCATTTACACTTATTATAATTATCATTTTAAGACTTGTTAGGACATTTTGTTTAATATTTTTCTCCTTTCTATGCATTGCTTTCTTGGTTTTTCCTCATTTATTGCTTTCAATGGATAGATAAAAGTTTTTTTCTTGACATTTAAACTAAATTCTATTTTTGTTGTCACAGCAGTTTCTCATAAATCCAAATTTGTGTTTGTTTATTCCTATTCCCTTTGAAGTTATTAAAGTCTGTAGTTACCCTCCAGTACTAGAAATCCAGTATCAGTTTGTGTGTACTTTGGGTCTGTCCTTTTTTCCCAACCCTCATTCTAGTTGTGTCGTTGTTGTCTAGCATTTTATTCTGAAATTTTTGCAATCTTTGCCATTTTTGTTTGCTTTTACAGAATGAACTTTATTAAGTTATTTGATTATGTTTCACGCATCTTATCCTACAGGATTTATCTTTTTTTTTTTTTTTGTCTTTTGTGTTTTTATCGGTACCGGGGATCGAACTCACGACTGCCTGCTTGCAAGGCAGGTGCTTATGCTGCTGAGCTAAATCCCCAGCCCCAGGATTTATCTTTTTATTTGAGTGCTTCATGGGTGCATATTGTCAGAGTGATCCTTCCTTTAGGGACTTTGCATCTTATTACCATCTATATTTACCAAGTCCATGTTCAAGATTCTTCTCCTTCAGTGCTATAAAATACTACTTCACTCTCTTATTGAGAAATCTGATATTAATTTTTTCAGTAGGACTGGGGTCAGAAATCGGGGCCTCTTGGAGATGAGGCAAGCACTCTGCTACTGAGCAACATTCCCAGCCCTGTTGTTTCATTCTTTTAGAATTTGATTTTAATCTTGATATTTGTAAGATTTACTTAGAATGTGCCTTAGTATGGGTCTTTATGTATCTTTTTTAGTCATTTGTAAACTCATCACTGCAGGTCCTTGATTTGTTTTTAATTCTGAAGAATTAATGCTCAATTGTCTTAAAATATTTTTTCTTTTATATTTGTTTTTTCCCTTTTTCCTGTCTGCTGTTGTCTAGATATCAGAACCTCTGTTTTATTTTCTGTGTCTGTGGCCTTCGTATGTCTCTGCCTCCTTCAGGGAGTGTCCTTCTCTGAGCCTTCATTACGCTGGTCTATCCTGTTCTTGTACTCACTGTACTGTTTGTCTCCGCTATTGACCTTTATTTCAACTTTTGTCTTCCTTTGATAGTATTTGTCCTTAGTTGGTATTACTGATGATCTCTTTCTCTACCGCTGGAGGATAGTTATGCTAATTGAGTTTCTATTCTGGCCTAGTAATTATGCTTCTTTTCATATGCAGTTAGTGCATTACCGCGTCCTGTAGTAGGGTGCTCCCCAGATATCTAGCTGTTTTGGCTTGAGAGCTGTGTGCCTGTGAGGGAGTTTAAGAAAGCAAGGAAGGGAGCTCTGGGGACCTCTGTGGAACACCACAGTCCTTTTGGTGTGCTGCTGCTTGTCCAGATGACTCCTGCTGGCCTTGGATTGCCGTTTGTCTCATGTTAAGTGACAGCTCTGGGATGAGGTAGTGTGCTTAGGTTGTACTGTCACATGGTAGTCTGTTCCCACATGATATTCCCCCTCCAGTTCTGGGCGTCCTCTTACGGGTGCTTTCTAAGGTGGTATAGTTGTGGAATGTGGCTGTATTGATTCTCATAAATCACTTCTGGGGTGAGACAACACACATACTGGGCTTGATAAGTGCTGTGGAAGACGTCCTTGGCCAACATGGTAGAGCTGCATTGAGGCTAGACTTTGGGTGGAGGGCTCGGGGATGGTGCGGCATGTTTGAGAACAGAAAGAGAATCTTCAGACCAGGAACTAGAATGCAAGGGGTGGATTTACAGAGAGAAGCAGGGAGAAGAGTATGTGAAAACTTGCTAATGTACCTGTGGAAGAGAAAATAGCCATAAAAAACAGACAAGACTTGAATCATCTAAATGCATTGGATCAGATTCCAAAGATCATTGTTTAGCTTGATGCTGGCAGGCAGCACTGGAAGGTATGTGTCACTTAGGGACTTAAACTGTAAAAAGAGATCATCACCCAGCAGCTCCTTTTCCACTCATCATCACTGTTGATGAGCTCGCACTCACCGTGAGAGTTGATGACCAAATCATGGTTTTTTCTTACTGCCACCATTAGCAGCTTTCAAGATCTTTTGCTCTCTTCTTCCTTGATAAGGCAGTCCTGCTAGTTGCAGTTCCGTTAGCAGCTCTGGTCTGTTCTGCGTTTTCTCTTCTTTCCTTCAAGCCATGGAGCATGTACTGCTGCAGATCTCTTCGCTGCATCCTCCTCACCTTTGGTGTGACTCAGAGCAGCTGCTTGTGGTGAGTGTATGTAGAGCAACTCGGATTGCCTTGAAGTCTGCAGCGTAGTACGGAGGTCTTTGAGAAAGGGAATCACTTGGTATTCTACTAGATGGAGATTACTGTAATTAATATTTTGACCACCTTCCTTACATTTCTCTTGGTGTACACGAAGACATGTACATCACTGGGTATAACTGATTGTGTGAGAAGCAAAGCATATATATCATAAAGTAATTCTCTTGTGCAAGAGAGAAGAAAGAAAATCCCATTTGGAACTTTTTATTTTTTTGGTATTAGAGGTTGATTGATCCTAGGGCCTCTGTACTGAGCTGCATCACTGGCTCATTCATTTTTATTTTCATTTTGAAGAAGGTTTTTGCTAAGTTGCTGCGTTCCCCAGGCTAGGCTTGAACTTGTGACCTCTTGCTTTAGCCTCCTAGAGTGGGCTCAAGGGTATGCGCCACCGTACCTCGCAATAGCCATCGTTTTTGTTGTTCCATTTGCTGGTCTTCTCCCACCTCACTCTTTTTGGTTTCAGTTTTACAGACAAGAATTGAAAGAATAGCACAGTGAGCTCTCCAGGCCTTTAATCTGGATTCGCTGATTGCATGTTGTCTTCTTGTTTTATTCCTCTTATATAAACTTGCAAACATTTAAAAAAGAC